ACCATGTTGTTGATTATTAAACTTCAATTCTATAACAGGGAATAGGGTGAGAGGTTCTTATCCGAATCGGTGTTTAAAATATCAAACTTTCTATTGCACCGACTAGCGGTCCCCGAGTTTCTTGAATTTTTCTACAAAGATTAAAATACGTTTCATGTATCTAAAAATACCCCAAAATCTAAAATTGGTGTTAAAAACCTTTTTCGACCAATTTCAAAATTCCAGCACAGTGACACCGTTGTGCTCCTATGATGGCACTGCTTCCCACGGCGACGGTTTGCCTCGGTCTGGCCATTTTTGTCTAGTTTCGACCAGCTTTATACCCATCCCTGTGAAAAAATACGTTATGGTGCCTCGGTCGGTCGAAAAAAGTTAAAAAATAAAAATCTACCGGTGGTGAAATTTTTCAGTGCGGCGGCTCCACTGGCTCACTTTCGCGGTTGGATGTTTTTCTTTGGTTAACCTGTAGAAAATAGAACGGTGAACACAATAGTGAAAAAATCGCACTAAATAGGAAACAGGAAGGGGCTCATCGAAGACGGTTGCGGGTTTTGCTTGCAGCAGCGCCGTCAGGTTTTGTCCATAGTTTTTGGCTCAGTTACCGTTCTTTTTGCTCTGATTTAGTTATGGGTTGCTCAAAATCAAATTTCAAGCGGATATCAGAATTTTTACCTTTTTTGGCAGTCGGAGGTGGTTCCGGCATGACGGTGGGCTCCCTTCTCCAACAGCTGGTTCTTCTATCCGGCAGGAGGCTGGCAGCTAGAGTTTGGGTTTGATGTGACGCAAAATATTTATACTCGTATCACGTAAATTTGGATCGTTCATTGTGGTTGATCTCAACCGTCTGATCGCATTTAAAAAGAAAATGAATATAGACTGTTCATCGCGATTTGATCTCGACTGTCTAATTACATTTAAAGAGAGAACGAATCTAAACTGTTCATCGCGTTTAATCGCGACCATCTGATCGCGCATGAGGAGGGAACGGATCCGGACTGTCCATACCTGCGAGAACGCTTCCGGGCTATCCGATCCCAGAGCACGCAGATCGCCAGCGTGGCCTCCTACGTGCCACCGAGTCAGCGTGCCTTGCCACGTGGCACGCTCCAGTTCATCAAGACTTCTGACTGGGTAGTCCTATGTGGTGCAATGTTTATTAATTGCGTTCTAATCCCAGTTTCTGAATTTTGCTTCAAAAATATCATACGAACCCAAATTTTTATCCATTTTTTTTCAAAATTATTTTCGATTTTATTATCAACTTATTTTTTTCATAATTTTTCATTAAATTAAAATTTACTAATTTTAAAAATAAGTTATTTATACATTTTTTGATGTTACAATTAATCACATATCAAATTCCGAACCCGGTTATTATACTGTGAACCAAAAAATTAGTAGACATGATGAATTGAAGGTGATAGGAAAATGAAATTATTAATGAGGAAAAGAAAATCGACATGTACATGAAAGAAAAAATTGTCATGTAATAAAAAACAATGAAGTAACTGGAGTAAATTGACATGTACATATATATATATATATATATATATAGTATCCGACAATTTTTGGTAATATTACATTTTAATTACCAATCACGATAGTAATTATTAATAATTAATAAATAGGTATTGTCGTATTTATTCTCTTGGAAATTCCCTTTCACTCATTATTATTATTATTATTAATTATTTATTTTTTGCTCTATATAGATATATATATATATATATGTATGTATGTATACAAAGTCTTTGGCCATGTCCGTGCCAGATGCCAAGTATATTAATAGATCCCCCTTCCTGGGCCTTGTTCGAAAGAGAAGAATCCAGGGGGAGGAAGAAGATTTATCAAGACAGACGACTGTAACTAAGGTAGATTTTTTTTCAAAAAAAGCTATATTTAATTTTTATTGTAATTTAATAATCGGTAATTTAAAAAATTTTATATATTTTAACTAAATTATTTTTTTTATTGAAATATTTAAATAA